GGCAGAGAGGATTTCAGAGAGAACTGATGCCAAAGAAACCCCAACAAACCAAAGGACATCAGCATGTTGTTGTGCCAACAGCTTTCATTTTGCCTCTTGTCTAATAACACCAAAACCTCTTGTAACACCACAATCACTTGTCATTTCTGAACCTGATTCAGGGAGAGATCGCTGCTTGGGAAGAGGAGAATAAAACCTGTTCTTTAAAGGACCAAAAAGTGCAGGATGAGCTGCTGTCTGGCATCAAAACCCCCAATATTAAATGCAAAAGTATCAAATGATCTTATTTATCAAGTATCATTAATCTGGCAGCCAGGACCTTCCTCTCCCATCAAGTCTCAGGGGACACCTAATTGCATGGTCTGAGTACATGAAAGAGCTTGTTGTGACTCTTCCCCCATGACAGCCAACTTGCTTTAGTTTTAAACGTTAGCAGAATTGGGGGACTCTGCCATGTGGCAGCTGTTTCCTGCACCAGATACACCAAAGAACCGAAGAAAACAAGGCTCTTCCTGCAGTAAGACAGAGCTCAGCACAACGGAAGGTCTAAGAAAAGAAACCTTCCTAGTAAACGCTGACAAAAATAAGACAGAAGATGGGTAAGGGTGGAAAAGAGAAGAGCAAAGGAAGAGGTGTGGAACTCCAAAGCCCCACAATAGGCTGCAGTCCTGGGCTCTACACGCAGGCACAGCTCTGATGGGGCAGGAGGGAAACCAAGGCGCTGAGGCTGAGTAAGGAGCTGAGTGAGGGCACTGAGAGGTGCTTGAAGTGATGCCACTGATAAATGATTCAATTACAGCCCAATGGTTGATTTCTGGATCCCAGATCTTAATTTTTTCCCTTAGATACGTTATTTAGGAATGTCCCTCAGCTTCCAACCCCTTGCACACTCTGCCACCCCCAAATCCTTTCCATAGGCAAACTGGGATGCCCGAGCCTGCTGGAACAGATGTTCAGGGGACTAATGCAGGGGGTTTGCTGTGGTTATTTTTTCTCTTTCGTTTAAATTGTGTGCACCCGCTGGTTTTCCATGCTGCACCTCTAAAAAGCAATATGGGCGGCAAAGTCCCTGGATGAGCTCTTAGGCAGAAGCTCTGCCCTGTGGGTGCTGAGGCACTGGCACAGGGTGCCCAGAGAAGCTGTGGCTGCCCCATCCCTGGCAGTGTTCAAGGCCAGGTTGGACACAGGGGCTTGGAGCAACCTGCTCTAGTGGAAGGTGTCTCTGCCTTTGGCAGGGATTTGGAGTGGATGACCTTTAAGATCCTTTCCAACCCAAACCAGGCTGGGACTCTATGAAAGCCTTGGGATGCTCACAAAATTTGTATCAGGCGTTGCTGATGATGTATTTTTCCAGATGAATAACTGGGATTTTGTCTCCCATAATGGTTACGACTCAAGAGAAGCAGCAATATGTGATATTTGTGTGTAGGAAAAATTTGTTGTATAACTGGTAAAACTGGTGAGTAAAGAACAATCATGTTCCTTCATATGACTATTCCACCTAAATCTTCATTTGGAGCTGATGGATACATCTTTAGAGAGGACCTCACCTCTTTGGGACACTGAGGGAATTGAAACCCCTGAACCCAGGTCCAGATCTCCCCTACCCACAGCACAGTTGTCCCTGCAGCATTCAGTGCCTGTAGTAAGCAACAGAGATCATGACCCTAAACCTTGGGGGACCACTGCACAAGCCACTGCTCTCCTGTAACCCACCCCTGCAATGCCCAGCTGGGTAACAGCACTGAAATACAATGGTCCAGCAGCATTTTCCCTCGGTACGCTAATGCCTCACTGGTTTTGGTCTTGTACAACGACATTGTCACTGGCCATGCAGCTGTACATGGATATAAAAGGCTCATTGTGCTCTGAGTATCTGCTTCACCAGGTTTCTCACAATATCCAGCCGTGTGTGTATAAATATACATGGAATAATACATATTGCAAATATATATCTATATACACACTCATCAGTATACATAGTCAAACCTAAAATTATATATATCCTATTGATATGGACAGATTCAAAATACTGCACAGAAGGGAGGAAGGACAGTGCTGAATGAAACCTCTGTTTGGTCTTCACTGCTTTCTGACCAAGCAGCTAAGCAAGCCAAGGGGGTTTAAAGGGTTAAGTGAATCTATATCCACTGTGACTCCAGACAGATGGGAAGTTCAGGCTTGAAAAGGAATTTATGTATGGTTTTCCTATAACATCTTCTGAGGCAGGCAAGGAAACCATCTCCTGATTCAGGATGTGATCCGAACTGCAAACTCCACCACAACATCGAGCATGAGGAATGTCTCCCAGATCAGCCTTTTGGCTGGTGTGAAGAACAATCCCACAGGAGCAATGAGGTATAATCCAGAGCATAAATCCCAGGAGAGAAGGAATTATTCACCGCCACAAAAGCAAGAGAGCGTGTGCACACATCTAACTACCAGTAAAACACCTTGTCACAAAAGTAACTGGACATGAGTAAACAAATTAATAAACCAAGAGAATGAGTTCCCCAGTAAGTAACCTGGGTTTGGAACTGCTCACTGGATATGTTAAAATGGGTTATTAAAGCTTCTGTTGAACTTCACAGACTCAAAGCCAAAAGCTGACAAAAAGGATGCATAATGAAAGGCACAGTCAGACACATCCTTGCGTATCTCTGAACACTTCAGGGTGTTATTGCTGCCACAGCACTTCCCAGGTAGAGGTTACTGATCCCCAAACCACCAGCACCAGATCCAGCAGATACAGATGATCACAATTCCTGCAGGATCAGCCAGCGCAGCTTGAGGAGCTGGAAGTGACCCGTCTACCACATCCCCCAACACAAAGATCACTTATCTGCTTAACGGGGGATGGAAAACACATCAAGTCAGAAGGATGATCCCAATTGTGCCTGCTATGGACATTTCCCTTCATCTCCTGCTCCTAAATGGACTTGGTCATAATTGTAGCATGCTGGAACCTACAAACACCATGGTCAAGAACAGACTGGAAGAGAACTATTGCCATCACCTGGTACTGAATGGGCCTAAAGACCAACTGCGGTCTTCAACCAGCTGTGCTGATGCTGTACTCCGTGAATGATGTTTCAGGTTTCATAGTAGCAGGTTTGGGTGTTTCAAGAATGCCCAAAGGGACCCTGATTTTCAGAAAAAAACCTCTAGCACCAATCCTCTGAAAATTAAGACTTTGCTGTGTGTCCAGTTGGGAACTCAGCCCCATTCATCCTTCCTGATAACCCTGGCTAAGAGTGGGGCTGGTCTCCAAAAGGCAGAGTAACCAAAGCAGAAAGTGAGGGATTCATTTCCCTCCCAGTTCAACAGAAGTTTGTATTATTTAACTGAAGTGACAATGAGTGAGTGAGGAGACCTCCAAAACGAACAGTATTGTGCCAGAAAAGCACCTGCTTCCCAAGGAATTGCAGCTGGGTCAAACCCAGCTATGTCAGCAGCACACAGTGGCCCCAGTGCCCAGCACACCACAGCCTCATCCTGCTCCTGCACTGCAACCTCCGACTGTGCTATTCCAGCAAAGCAATTCCTCAACCTTCCCTTAGAGCAATAATGAAAATGAGCTATCTCAGGGCACACAGAGGAGTGCTGTGGGTATGGCACCGGTGGACACTGATCCAGCAGAACATACTGACAGTGAACACCACTTAGCTCTCCTCACTCCCCACCACCCCAGCTCACCTCTCACACGAGTTCAGATGCACTACAGACATACCACAGGTAAAAATAAAGGATTCTTCTTACAAAGACTGAAATCTGGCTAGGATGCCTTTGCTCATACAACAGATCTGAGTGAGGTACTCACAGGGGAAGTCCCTCATGCACAAGTGAGAATATATCTGTAAAAGAAGCTATTTGGCTACCTACGTGTCAAGCTTCATGCTTTTATTCCAAAGTGAATGATTTTCCAGCTTAGGTCTTGGACTAATGAAGTAAGCGGCGTTTTAGCATTTGACAGCAGGGTTTCAGCACACAGCTCACACACAGAAGCAGGCCCACCTCTGTATCTAGACTACAGGGGCACAAGAACAAGCACTGGAGCTCTGGTCGTGGTGGTGTGCTGTTTCCAGCTCAAGCCTGCTTCTGCAAGTGGCCCAACACCTACAGCCCTATGGTCGGTGTGCACAAATCTGGTCTGGGAACAGGCTCGACGCAGAGGCTGGCACCACTCGGTGCAGAGCTGTGTCTGAAACCAGGACAGTCTTTATAGGAGTAGGTCCTTCAGCCTACACAGAAGATCCCATGTTCCAGGGTCGAGTACACACCTTGAACTGACCTTGCTTTCAGGCAGTGTGAAGTGCAGTCCATTGCTCCAGCCTGTTTCACTCTAGCACCCCAAAGCAGCGGCACGTGTCCCACCTACCCAAGCTTCTCCATGACCAACTACCTGGGGAGTAACAGCAGGAGTCCTGTGCTGGGGCCATGTTACTCTCCAATGTTGTCACTAGGTACAAAGTGCAAAAGTGTTGCTGTTCCTGCATCCATTAAAAACTTTAAAAACAGAACAAAACAAACAGAAAAGGATTTCCATAATCATTTGAAAATACATTAAGTCTCCAAAAAGCCAGCAAACACCTGATAACCTGGTTGTGCCATATCTGCTCTCAGTCCTGCACAGCAGCAGTCCAGTGGGGCAGTTCTCCTCTCAGCTGGCAAACCACAGCTCCCTCCTTTGCATACTCTCCAGCCAATGGAGGATGACATCCAGGAAGTTCAGTTTTGGTGGCTTGGACTGAAGAGACCAATGGCTAAGAGAGCCAAGATCCTGCTGTGAACTGCCCCATCTCCAGAGGAGAGAGCACTGAGCATTCCCTGCAATGCCGCCACTTCCCATTTCTCCAGACAGTTCAGCATTACAGCAAGTCAGCCACTCGGCCTCTGGCTTGGGACAATGTCAACGGCTTCCCTCCCACCCCACAAAGGTGTATAATCAAATCCCTCCCTGCTTCATCCCATTTAAAGTGTTTGCATCTTTTCCTCCTATGAAATGTTTCTGATAAGGCTTTATTGCTATACAAAAGCGGTGCAAATGCTGCCCAAAGACAGCTCCATCAGGAACTTTGGTCACACGACTGCGGGACTCTTGTGCAGTGTCCAAGTCCCAGCGTTAGACCTGCTACCTTTCCGAAGAGAAGCTGAATACTGTGTGCAATAACACTAAGAAAATAGGACTGAACCCCAAATACAAAACAAAACCGAGGGAGAGAGGGGACAAAGAACTCAAATTAGGCAGAAGGCTTGCTTGGGAAGAACCCCATCATTCCTGTGATGACTAACTGATTCAATGCTACATTTAGACAATGCAAGTGTCTTTCAGAACAGATAGTTGGTGTTGGAACTGCAGCTCTGGTCCTGAATGCCAGCTCTCTCATCAATGCAGCATTTATTAAAAAATAAAATTAAAAAGAAAACAAAAAAAAATAATAAATTGACAAATTGCATCACCAGGTAGCAGCCTGGCCTGGGTCACACACGTCCCATTGCATCGGTTTCATCAAGCAGGGCCATTTAATGTGGCTTCAGCACAGGGCAAGACTTCTTCTTTCCTAAACAGAAACCCAAAGAGTAATGTTAGAGTAACAGAACTACAGGAACATACCCGCTCCTCAAGCTTACTATCATCCTGGATGGAAATTTTCCTCTTCAGCAGTATCTGAGCCATCCTTCCTCTTATTTTTGCTTCTTCTGCATGCTGAAAAATTATTAGCTTCCTAAGGAGAACCTCCTCCAAGACCCTTACAAAATGGAGCAAGCACAGAAGGACATGGAGCTGTGGGAGAAGGTCCAGAGGAAGCCATAAGGATGATCAGGGCCTGGAGCAGCTCCCGTATGAAGACAGGCTGAGAAAGTTGGGGCTGGAGAAGAGAATGCTGCGTGGAGATCCCATAGCAGCTTTCCAGTATCTGAAGGGGGCCTATAGGGATGCTGGGGAGGGATTCTTCATTAGGGACTGTAGTGACAGGACAAGGGGCGATGGGTTCAAACTGAAACAGGGGAAGTCCAGGTTAGATATAAGGCAGAAGCTCTTCCCTGTGAGGGTGCTGAGGCGCTGGCACAGGGTGCCCAGAGAAGCTGTGGCTGCCCCATCCCTGGCAGTGTTCAAGGCCAGGTTGAAGACAGGGGCTTGGAGCAACCTGCTCTAATGGAAGGTGTCCCTGCCCATGGCAGGGGCTTGGAACTAGATGAGCTTTAAGGTCCCTTCCAACCCAAACCATTCCTTGATTCTATGATTCAAATGCTACATTAAAAAATAGGAGCTCAGAAGCCATCTCTGACTGCTGGTTACACAACATTGATTAATCCATTGAACCAGCAGTTTGGAATACCACTGTCAGGATTATGAGCCTACCAGAAGGCTTTGACCTGACTAACCTCTGATAGGCACCCTCCCACATCAGCCTGGGAGCTGCTAGAGCTGTGCTGCACACATGGATCTGCAACTTCCCTCCGGGTTGGTATCCCTCAGGGGTCAGTGCTGAGACCAATCCAGTTCAACATTTTTGTTGTGACACGGACAGTGGTATTGAGTACCCTCAGCAGTGCTTGTTCTCCATGAGTAAGAATTAAGAAGTCCACTACTCTAATCAAAAATGATTTGACTTCTGGGCCACTGAAACATTAGCACAATACATCACAGCGGTAACTCTGCACTACCTGCAGTGTAATACACTCCAAGACACTCTGGAGTTACCACTTGTGTGACTGTGACCATACACTAATGGCAGAATAACAGCATTCAGTGACATGGCAAAAGCAATTCTCTGTCACAGGGTGATAGAGCAGAGCTCTCAGAATCTCACCTGTCTTTCGTAGCTGTTTCTGTGACCGCTGTGACCACGGCAGCCGTGTTCTGGTGCTCCTCCACGTGCTGGGCCACGCTGTTCCGGGGTTTGGGTGCTTTTGTCGTGCCGATGTTGGTGATGGCCAGTGAGTCGATAACCATGCACTCTGCATCACTGTGGGGAGAGTTCATGGTCATGGGAAAGTGGCACTTAATGGGGCTTAAGTTCCAATGGGGAGCAAAAATATTCCTCCTCCTCTCCCAGCACAGGGCACAAAAAGCCCATAAGGAAATAAGAATGGAAAAGAAACTGGAATTAAAAGGCAGTGTGCATATCCTGGAGGCTGCTTCCTATAAATCGACATGACACCAAGTACACACAGACACAACAGCTCCTCAAGAAAGGCATTCCCATTCCTGCAGCAAAATCCAGCCTAAGAATTCCCCAGACATTTCACCCTCCTCCACAACTACCTCTGCTGGGCGCTGTCCTATGCGCAAACACAGGGAACCAGCAGTAGAAGGATGCAAATGTGAAGTACATTTGGCCAGGACTTCACAAGTTTAGAGGGTCCAGAAAGTCAAGTTGACCACTGGGAGCAACAAGCCAGAAGCAAACCACTCATCTTGGTGCAAACTAGAGACTCAACACCAGTACACAGCACCAGGGAGCAGCCTGGGCTGGAAGGGACCTTTGAGGAGCTTTAAGGTCCTTTCAACTCAAACCTGTCTCAATCTGTGATTCTAATTTGCTCTTGATTACACACTGGATGACAGATTTCCACACCCAAGGGGCAACATTTCCAGTGGCGTCTACCCACAACAAAACAGAAGCTCAAATCGTGAAAAAGGAAAATCCTGCTAACTCAAACCCTCCTAGCCTTCTACATTTGTATTTTAAAGACCCATATCTCTAACTGGAGAAGTGACTGCTGTGAACATCTTTAGTTTTTGCCTTCTAAGGCAGAGAAAAGCTTGTGTGTGAATGATCTTTCTCACCCACCTCTTCCTTTACCCAGATCCAGTCTCAAGCCTGATTTCTTCTCCTTCTTTCAGAGAGCAAGCCTATTGAAACGGAAGGAAAGCTCAGGATGACTGAGCTGGAATCCTCTCACCAGCTGATGAGGAATTTATAATGCACATATAATCACAGGCTGGTAATTAAGATGTGACAGAGATTTGGAGACCAACCTCCTGTTTCTGTAGCTATTTTCTGTGTGCTCTTGGAAAAAAATACATTAAAAATAAGGAATAATGAGATCAAAACATTTCTGTTCCTGAAGGGCTGACAGGCTCTTAAAAAGAAATACTGCAAGTACAAAAATATACCTGAGAGAAGCTGCAGGGGATGGATGAGACAGTGGAGAACTGAACTGAGCTGCCAGAAATGTCATTAGAAGATGACTTCCCACACAGGAAACCGGAGCTCATGAGACTCCAGTTGCTCAAAGATAAACTCCTTAAATTCAATCACTAAAACTTTCCATGACACGAGGATTCCAATGTGATGAAGCCCTGAGGGGAGCTGACCACTAAGGGGGCATGAAAGTCTATCTCTCTTCAGCAGCTCATGGAAGTGCAAAGCCCTGCAGGACACTCACCAGTGGAAAACAGACCAAGAAGTTTATGTGGAAGAGGGAATGCTGTGACCCAGGCAGGAAGGTTGACAACAATATCTCCTTCTAGCCTGGAATGAACTCTGGTGCCTATAAATATTTGGGATTAGTATTCCTTTGGTCAGCTTGTTTGTAGCTGCTGGCTGTGTCCCTGACAACAGACTGGGATGACACTGATGGCAATCTGTCTACCTCCACAGAACCAAACACATTCCAAAACCCAACCAGGCTGAGGGCAGGCACAGAGAGTGTTTGCCCACAGTGAACATGAATGTACTCTTGTTAAGGCAGACTAAGGAAGAAGAGTCATCAGCAACAAAGGTTGTAGCTACCATAGTCTCAAGCTCTGCAAGCAGATCATAAACTCATGGAATGGTTTGGGTTGGGAGGGACCTTAAAGCTCCTCCAGCTCCAACTCCCTGCCACAGGCAGGGACACCTTCCACTAGAGCAGGTTTCTCCAAGACCTGTCCAACCTGGCCTTGAACACTGCCAGGGATGGGGCAGCCACAGCTTCTCTGGGCACCCTGTGCCAGCACCTCACCTCCCTTACAGGGAAGTTCTTCCTCTAATATCTCTAATACTTCCCACTCCAGAAGGAATGAGGAGTTTTTCAGCTCTAAATCAAAGCCACTTGTACACATTTTCCAACAGCAAGTGAATGCTGGTCAGAAACATGTCTCTTCTCACAATGGACAAGCACTCAGCACAAACAACTTGTGAATGTCACCTACAGCCGTGCCCACTGGGCTTCCCAACACAACAGCCAGGACAATCTTCCTTTGTGTTCACCAAGTTCAATGTCATAGCCAAATCTGGTGACTTAACTACCAAGTTTGTAAATACTACTCTGGAGGTCACTCAAAACAGAGGCTGCTCTCATTCCACAACACCACAATGCTCTGAGATAGCAAACCACCCCTGGTGCATGAGCTGAATGTCCAGCCTCTTCAGTCTTATCAGAAAACAAGACCAGAAGGTATGACCTGTATTACTGGGCCCAACCATCTTCAGCCCCTAGGAGGTTCTAACACAGTTTGTATAAACTTCCATCCCTGGAAGTGTTGAAGGTCAGGCTGGAGAGGGCTTGGAGCAACCTGCTCTAGTGGAAGGTGTCCCTGCCTGTGGCAGAGGGCTGGAATTCAATGAACTTAAGGTTCCTTCCAACCTAAACCATTCCATGATTCAAAAGCTGTACACTTCTGATCAAAGTCTCCAGTGCCTGTGCAAAATACGCACGCACACGTACACATCCACTGCCTCACCACTGGGAAACACATTTACAGTTAGAGAAGGAAGTAATGTAAAACTGTGATGACAGTGTTGTGCCCGGCTTGAAGAAGGCCTCTGGGGACCTCTCCTCAATGTACACACATTGTTCTAGACAAGGGACTTTGGAAAATAAGCTTTGGCTTCTGGCTGCCTCTGCTAGAAGCCCAAGAGGGATGAGCCTGCACAGGGGGTAAGACATGCTCATCCTGCACTCATGTGAATGCTCTGCAGGGATCTGCCTCTCAACTGCTACTGAAAACTCACAGCTCCCTCAACTAACGAGGTTCAACTCCATAAAGAACTGAGAGAAAAGCCTGATAGCTCCTCAGCTTTTACTACATGTAATATAACCCATGAAAACAAGAAGTATTATATACCCTCACTTCAGACCTGGGGTGCTACAAGCAGTTGTGCATTCCTCTTTCCCCAGTGCCCAAATCCTGCACATGCAAAGCTCCCTCAAGCAACAATAGTTTCATGAAGTGCAACTTCTTGGAAAACCAGGATTTAACAGAGTTCATACTTTGTAACAGCTGAAGTTGGCATGAAACCATTCCATATCAAACCCAATATCCAGGTAAATCAAAGTGATCTGCTCTTCTGCTTCTGAAGATGAAAACATCAGGAGCTCACTTAACTTTTGGTATTATTCAGTTCTTCCTACAGATCTCCACCAGCTTTACAGAGAAAGTACTTCAGCACTGCAACTTTCAAACACCAATCTCACCCAGTTTCACTATGGAAACTTCTTTTTAACACCCATTTCAACAGTACTACAGCAAAACACCCTATACTCACCCTGTCCTTTCCCTGGTCTTCTCACCCAGAGCCTCTCAGCTCCAGCAGGACAAATTGAGCTGCACCAGCTTTGTTGTCCAAGCTGACTTGGCATTGTGGTGCCAAATGGAAACCCACATACTGCAGCACCTAATGCAGCTCTTCCCCATGAGAACAGCATTCCTGATCTACAAAGGGTCTATAAAGAAGTCACTCCCAACTGTTCATAGAGCTTTAGGTACTTTGGGAAAGGAGGATTTGACACTGAATGAAACAGCCTTTGAGTTAACTCTACCCACCTCTGAAGCTCACTACTGTGGCTCCTGGGATACACTTTAGATATCCTCTAGTCTCTTTGGTATCACAGACATAGACAACAGACCACCATGAAGATGCACTGGGGAAAGCAGTGGTCCTATAAACACAGAAGCAAGAAGGGTACAAAGAACGTGCCTGGACACGAGCCTCATGCCCAGCCCATGAATGAGTTCCTGACATCCAGGCTCTGCAATGACCACCCAGAAGCAATGGAAAGGATGCAAGAGCAGCCAAGCCACACACTGCTCAGCACACTGTGAAGTGACTTGGTGGCTCTTAACCAGACCAAGTCACACCACACAGGAGGTCTGGCTTCCAAATGTACATGCAGTCTTCATTAAAAGGCCAACACTTATGTCAGCTTAGAAGATCCCATCTGTGCCACTTATTGTGCTGTGTTCACCTTGATTGGAAACATTTCCTGGTGAAATGGGACCTCAGAGTACCCACTTTCATTTCTTTATGAGTAAGTGTACACTGATCTGCAGGCAGATGTGCCATGCTCCGTACCCCATCTCCCACAGCATGCTCCTTCCTCTCATCCTCCGCTCAAGCATGCCAGCAGCTTCTCCATGTTAAGCAGCAGCATGAGATACAAGCAAGACACCCATTTCTCATGCTGATGCTCCATGTTCATCATAACGGAGCTCCAGCAGCACATGCTGACACCACGTGAATCTCAATGTCATGCAGGACAAACGGGCAGCAGGCACAGAAAACAAACACATCCCAAAATGAGAGCCCAAAACATCCACTGTGACACGTCACTCCACTCAGCCTGGGACACCAGAGGATTCATCTCTCTTCTGTGTGTAAGCAGATGCTGCACCAAAACTCCTTGCTCAGTGGCAGCCAAGGCCATGGCCACCATATCTGGACCCTGGGTCCCTCACCCTGGACCCAGGGACCCTGGCACCCTCACCCAGAGCTATGGGAGGAACCACTGCCAACAGCTATTTCTGAGCTATTTCAGCAATTCAGGGTTGTCTCTGCTGTGAGAATGGAAGTTAAGGGCTTTCATCCCAAAACTGTGTATGAGCAGCAACAAGGGGCGACTTTTACAGCCTTCCAGCACTTTTAAGTGTGGCTACAGGATACCTGGAGAGGGCTTTGGACAAGGGCCTGTAGGGACAGGACAAGGGGAATGGCTTTAACCTGACAGAGAGGAGACTGAGATGAGCTCTTAGGCAGAA